TACTCACACACCTTAATACTCACACTGCTCAGGATATCTAGTTTAAAGAACCACTAAACTTTGTTTTTTTGTTACTCTTTTAACCATTACATATGAAAGATTTGTGGTTAGTCTTATGCGGAACACCAAATTTATTCTTTAAAAACTTGTGGTTAATTAATACCGAGCGATTAAAAGTGGCCAAAAAAGTCGCCTGCTTCCCTCTCGCCCGCCAACGAAACCACAGACAGGTTACGTAACTCTGTCGCCAGAGCGCTGCAGTGACGTCATATGAGGAACGATTTTCAGTTAGTTGTATAGAAAATGTGTAGCACGCTCATCATTTTGATGATTTCTCGACATCAACGACGACATGCCGAATCGTTGCTTTGTCGTCAATTGCTCCTAGGGGTCGGGCGATGGTGTCCCCATGCACAGATTTCCACAGGACCCCGCAGTTCGTGCTAAATGGGTTATGTTTGTGAGTGCGAAGCGAGCGTTGTGGAAGCCTGAAACGATATCTTACTTGTGTTCAGATCGCTTCACGGAAGTTAAAGAATCAAAACTACTTACTAGTTGTAGTAAAATATGCATATGATTGATGACCATAAAGATTTTCTATGACACAACTTGTAACATAACGATTTCTTCCTCGGAAGTGAGGTTGTGGTCGAAGTAACAATAATATTGTAAGTAGTATTATATTGACACCCACCTCGCTGCCACGAGAGAATTGTTATGTTATACGTTAAGTCATGCAAAATCCTATTGGCCATCAATAAAATATATATTATTACCAGTAGAAAGTAGTTTTGATTTTGTAACTCGGTGAAAACAAACCTAAATACCATTTATCCTCAGACTGGCGGATGTTCCCGACAGGGCGCCGCCATTTTCAAAAATAAAAAAATCTGTTAGAATTAATGAGATTATAGTTTGTTTTCAAGTTAGAAAATCAAGACTACTTTCTACTCGTAGTTAAATATGTATTGGAATCATAACCAAACGGATTTTGCATGACACAGCTTATAACATAACGATTTCTTCCACGGAAGCGAGGTAGGGGTCGAAGTGACAATACTGCGCGATAAATTTCTTGCTACATTCACATGGTTAATGTCCACTCACCAGTATGTAGATACTAGTCAATGTGCGTCTTTATATTTGGTCTTATAATCCTAATTAGTTTATTATCATACTTGTATGCATTTTGAAACTAAAAAAAAGCAGACGATCTGCTGATACTTGTAGTGAATTTATACCAGAACTGTAATATCTAGACATTTTATAGTTTGCAAATGTGAATCATAATTCGCACACACACCCTAGTGCATGTTGTCTGTCTAATGACACTTCACGGCGAAAACTATGATTCTGTTGAATGCTACGACAAATGAATAAAAACAAAATGCAAATATTAAAATTAAAACAGATTAAAATTATAGGAACAATATCAGGCCATTACCTTGTTCGAGGAATGTATCCATCAATATCCACAAAACTGTTCCAAATGATGTGTCTTTTAACAGTTTAATATACGAAAAAGTGATAAATCTTTTCAGGTATTGGTGTATAGTCTCATTGGTCACCCAAGATAGCACACCTGGCAACTAATTGCATAATGTCCGCCTTTCTTTAAAAACAGTAATTTAGTTAGCCAATAATGGGCAATCAATCAATGTATTGCCGGTTAATCCTTTGAAAGAAGGACGTTGTTTTTACGCAGACACCGACACGACAGAGTGTATTCAGTATAGATTAGTAAATCTACATACATAAACACTACCTTTTGACAATTCCGCTGTGTAAGACAACAGTAATTAATCGATCAGCGTGTTATCGGTTAATCCTTTGATCGATGTTTATAATGTTGAATATTTACTCCAGACACAAGAAATGCCAAATGGGAACTTTTGTCGGGTAATCTAAGTGTGTTACCACTAATTATACCTGTTATAAATTCATTAACTGACCATCAAGTGAATGATGACAAATAACATGTGTAGGTTTATACCACTTAACACGGGTTACAACAAGGGAGTATTAATTGCTGTATTGCATGTGAAAACTTATGGGCCGACACTGTTTTGAGAATACAAACAGATTTTTTACATGACATGAATAAATATCGAGGTAAAAAAAAACACAGAAATGGGATCAATTTGGATCAGTCATTATACAAATAGGGCCTAACGACACCAATCGATTTTGACAGAATCGTCTATGAAAACAAGTTGTAACTGGGAAACTAGGCAAAGCAGGAGACAAAATTAAATGACAGTAGATTGTGAGAACATATAGCTTTCATTTTCCACAACAATTGTCACGATTTCAGGTTTATACAAGCCTGTAAACAAGATAATTTAACCCTTAAAATGTAGATGAATTCTGCATCGGCCCTCAAAGCTATTCCTCATATGACGTCACAGAGGCGCGCCGCTCTGATTGGTTGAAATTTCGTTCGCGGGTGAGAATTGTGCACTGTTGTCAAAAAGGTCGATTTAAGTCAATTAAAGGTCGAAATGAGTAGTTTTAATGACGGGGTTTCATTTATAACGATGCCAGTTAGTGATTTATGTATTCGTACCCCCTAGGGTTTATGTGACCTTTAAGGCAATGTGGACACATGGCAATTGCGATATCTGCACTTTTCGATCTTCTGTATAATTGGATGTTAAAACCAGCAATAACACATCGAAATTTTGTCAGTGCTCTACGCAAATGAGCAGAGGGCAAGACTCGTAGGTAAGTTTCCGGCATTATGTCAAGTTTATAGGTTGAATATGTGCGTAAATATTTGGAAGCAGTCACGGTAGCTGACCACTCTTGATAATAAATATCTTTACATCTTTGTTTGAATATACACATGAACAATTCTTTATTACCTACGTCTTGGTTCAACCAGGCATAAGACAAGCTATGCTGGAACAATAACTCTCGCACTGCTGAGGTCCAATTAATATCTCCAGAATCATCTAAACGTTTTAACATGAGATACGCTCGTTTCGAAATACGAGAATCAGGCTGTCTGAGCAACCGTATCCAGTATGATATTACTCTAGCTTTGTAATTTACGTAGAGTGGATATCGTCCACACTCAGCTCAAATAGCTTTTGTGGGTGAGCGGTAACCAATTCGTAAGACAAATTTACAAAAATTTGAATGTACCTTTTCAATGTTGTGTCGATACACTATCCCCCAGATTTCTGCCCCGTATAATAGGATAGGTTGGATTTTTCCATCGAAAATTTTAAAAGCGATGTCTGGAAGCACTGATTTTTAGGTACAGATAAATTTCTTGATTGGATACAGAGCCTTCTCGGCTTGCTTGGATAAAACATCACAAGCTTTAGAGAACATATTTCTACACGACAAAGTTAATCCCAAATATTTGTAATAATTGACAGTTTCAATTTTCTCATTACCAATGTACCACTTTTCATGTTTTGATACTTTGCCACCTTTTTTAAACACTACGACATTGGTCTTGTCGGTATTCATAGAGAGTCCCCACTTCTTGCAATACCTTTCTAGAATGTAAATTTTCTTTTGTAAATTTATAACACTGTCCCCAAATATTCCAACATCATCGGCAAACAGGAGAATGGAGAGTATGTTGACAGCCTCGTCAATAAATGCACCACTGTAATCGCTGTTCACAATATCTTTAACGAGCTCATCAATATATAGAATGAATAGAATAGGGGATAAAATGCAACCTTGACGGACTCCTGTCGTAGAGTTAAATACCTCGGTCATTGTTTGCTTACCACACCGAACAGCAGACTTAACGTTTTTGTACATATTACGAAGCAAGGTGTTTATTTTACCGTGTAGCCCATTATTTAGGAGAACCGAAAGCAGTTTACTTCTTTCCACTGTATCTAAAGCTTTCTTGAAATCGACGAAAATACAATAACATTTGCCGCGTTTCTTTCTGATATATTTATGTATTATGGAATTGAGAATGAATATTTGGTCGGTTGTGCTATAATCTTCCCTAAATCCCGCCTGTGATTCAGATATCAGTTCCTGCGTGGTGACCCACATTTTAATGCGGGACTCTAGAATGGACATGAAGACTTTACTAAGAACATCAAGAAGGGCAATCCCCCTGTAGTTATTCGGATCATTCCTGTTTCCAGTCTTAAATAAGGGCACAATCAAACCCATATGCCATGATCCTGGATGGTTCCCAGAGTTCAATATGTCGTTGAAGAATCGTTTATAAAATGGCAATAATAATGAACATGACTGTTTAAGAGCCTCCGCGGGAATACCGTCTGCACCAGGGGATTGCCGTTCTTAAGATACTTAATTGTATTCATAATTTCTTCGTCAGAGATCTCTGTAGCTAAGAAATCATCACAGTTTCTGCACTCGTCGCAGTTACCAACATCATGACCATCTAAAAACTCTCTAACATGTTTGTCAAATTGTGAATTTTCAGTTAGTTGGGGGTTTTGGAGATCCCTAAAATAATCAAACCATGTATCGGATGATATGTTTGCAGGTGCATAATTAGTATCACAATGTTTCTTAAAACTTTTGTTAGTTTCAAGGTAACGTTTGCAGTGTCGTGTATCATTCGTTGTTCTAAATACATCAAGAAGTTGGTACCTTTACGTTTCAACTCGCATTGTTTGTCAAACCATCTAGGTTGGCGTTTACATTGTTTACATTGTGTACATTGTGTACATCTGCTACTTTTCTAAAGACCATAAAGGCACCCACCAAGTCCCAGGCAACTAGAATGCAGGTTTTCAGTATTTAGAAGAAGAAACATTACTGTTGGAAATCACCAAAGTTGTGTATGTTTATATAACCAAATCAAGCAATCATTATCCCTACGATTATACCCCTGTTACCTTTCTTTTTCACAGCCTGTGTGTTTTTGTTTCGGAATATTCAATTACAAGCCTTAAACGGTGAATTCATATTGTATATGTGTTACGTACAAACTACATAACGAGACAGATATCGTTTAGTATCTTTAGTATCCTCTTTTGCAGAGGAAAGCATGGGCAGGTGTGCCTGCTGTGTTCTCCAGCTCATCATTGGTATCCTAATTGGTTTCGTTACTAGTCAGGCACTCTTCACGATATGGTGGCATAGAGGATGCAGGTTCCGCAAGCATGAGAAAGAACATGATAAGAATTGTTGTAAAACTGACCCCGAAAAGCTTGTTTTCGCTGGTATCATGACCACTCGGAAGTATCTGTCAACACGTGCTGATGCTATCTATAAAACATGGAGTAAAGATTTCCCAGGTCAGTTGGTGTTTTTCATTGGGACTGGTGAAGATTTCAACACATCCCTACCGGTAGTAGTGTTGACTAATGTCAGTGATGAGTCCTACCCGCCACAACGAAAGAGCTTTGAGATGCTCCGCTACATGTCTCAACACCACGGAAACGACTTCCACTGGTTTATGCGTCTGGATGACGACGTCTATGTAAATACGGACCTTCTAAAAACATTCCTGACGTCTATAAACAGCTCTCTGCATGAGTACATGGGACATCCAGGCACTGGAGCTAGAAAAGAAAAAGGACATTTAGGTCTGCATGAAAAGACACCTTATTGTTTGGGAGGTCCTGGTGTGGTACTGAGTGGCCCCATCCTCCGGCAAGTGGCACCCCATCTCTCTGGCTGTCTGAAGAACCCAGCGACACCTCATGAGGACACAGAACTAGGGAGATGCATACACAACGTGACTGGTCTTTCCTGCTCATGGCAGAACAGGGTATGGTAAATATTGGGAGGTCTTCAGTAACATCTAAATAATCACATATGATTGTTCTTTCTGATATCAGTCTCTTTTTCATGACACTAGATAAAAGTCTCAATCATCGAAACTATGTTTGCCACGGTCCCAGCCATCCCAATTTGACACATTCTGAAACAATTTGAAGGACCTGCATAAAATCCCTTCTCTTTACGTGCAGGCTGCTTAAAAGTAAACCATAATACAGTTCTACTAATATTACAATATGTATTCAATTTTCTTTTCAGTTTCGGAGACTGTTTCTGGCAAACTATACACATGCAGCCGGGGCATGGGCCGTTAGTATGAATCCACATGAAGCAGTGAAGACGATATCATTCCATCCTGTAAAACATCCGGGCAACCAGTTTATATTGCACAAAATGATTCTGTCAAAAACCGTAGAAAAGAAAAATTCATATAAGGGACTTTAAGAACGAGAGACATTACCAATTAATGCATCCGGTTCTGTCAAGGCAGGTAACTCCACCCCATGGACATGCATCAAGGCGTCTAACGTTTATTCATTGGAACCCGGCCATCTCAAAGACTCAACCTTACATCGTGGAAGGCACTTAGGTTTAGTGTCTGTTCAAAATGAATTGAAGCTATTTTTGAAGGAAAGGAAACTCCGACTTTCACAAATAGCCTATCAGAGAATGTCTGCACTGAATGGTCTTGAGCATGTGGTGGTCACGAGGGATCGGAAGAATAACTATGAGGTCTTCAGAACCCGGCAAAACTTTCATCAGATCTATTTTCGTGAACTAAAACCTAGAAAAAGATAGGGTCAGACAGTAATGGGAGATGATCTTCTTAGAGCGGGAATAAATTGGTGCAAAGCTGAGATTCGAACTACAGTCACCAATGGTAAACAAAATGCTTGTCAGTGCAATTGCAGTAATCATTGACTGTGTATGTATAGTTAACATTGTACTTGAACATAGTTTACAGAAATAAAACATTTAAGGTTATTCAGTGATGAGAGAGAAAAATTTAACACACACGCACGTAAGCACACCGAGAATGCTTCGTTTGTATCATGAATGTAAGTGACAAAAACATTTCCACATTCTCAATAAATTGTACAATGATCAGACTATATTATAAACGTGTATAATATTCGAGGATATACAATTAAATATTCATCTCAAAACAAGAAAGAAAGAATTAAAGCAGAACAGGAAACCAATGAAGCACTTGAAAACCTTGACGTCAAATTAGATGCAGCCATGAACGAAGAATATAAAGATAAATTATTAAAAGAAATAAATGAACTCAAAGAACAACAATTAGAACTTAACCGATACAAAACAGAAGGCATTATACAAAGATCGAAAGCGAAATGGTATGAACAGGGAGAGAAACCGTCGAAATAGTTCCTGTCACTTGAAAAACAAAACTTTCAAAATAAATCCGTTGCTAGATTAGAAACTGCACACGGTACTATATTTGAAGCTAAAGATATACTGAGTCAAAAAAGAAACTTCACATTCCTTCTTCAGGGCACTATAAAAGAACAAGAGATGGTAAGATGGTGAAATTGTTATTATTTCATTGCTGAGATCTGTGTGATGTACTCGACACACTGACAGTGCCATAATCAGTTCCATTAGGTTACACCGCCGTTCCAAAACATGGGTATACAGAATGTCAAGTCAAAAGAATAAAAAAGCGAAATTTCTCAGTTCAATATCGTGTATGGCCGCCCCGCGCATTCACCACTGCCAAATACCGTCTCCTCATCGACTGCCTGATGCTTGTGAACACGTGGTTGGGGATTCTGCGCCATTGCTCTTGCAAGGCAGCGCCAAGTTCCTGCAAATTCTGAGGTTGGTTCATAAGACCACGAAGCCTTCTCCCAAGTGCATCCCAAACGTGCTCTATTGGAGTAAGGTCAGGGGACCTCGATTGCCAGTCCATGACGTTGATTCAAGCATTTTGAAGGAAATTTCGTGTCAACATCGCGGTATGCGGCCGAGCATTGTCATGCTGGAACTGTAGACCTGGGCCATGACCCGCCATGAAAGGAACGAGTTCAGGGTTGAGCACCTGGTCGCGGTAAGCAGCAGCTGTGAGGTTTCCACGGATGACCAGAAGTCGGGAACGGTTGTTCCCACAGAAAGCACCCCACACCATGCAACTTCCGCCCCCGAATCTGTCGGCTTCCTGTACACAACATTGGGCATACCATTCACGACGTCGTCTCCAGACTCTATGCCTGCCGTCCGCGAATCTGAGGGTAAACCTGGATTCATCGCTAAAGACGACTCGATTCCAGGCTCTCTGGGTCCATCGGAGATGACGTTGGGCCCACAGCAGACGTTGACGTTGATGAAACGGCATCAATATTGGCCCACGATATGGACGTCGAGAATGGAGATTGGCAGCCCGCAACCGATTTCGAATGGTCTGTGAGGACAGTCGACCTCTAAACATCTCAGCCCTGGTTCGTGTAGCCGGCAGAAATCTGTCCCGTAGGTGACGTAGGACGATTTGACGGTCTTCTGTTCGTGACGTCACACGTGGACGACCCGACCTTGGACGATCAGAAGTGGTGCCAGTTTGTTGTAGACGACCTCGCAAGTCATACACAGTACGACGGCTGCATCCCATTGCTTTTGCGACGTCAATAACTGATCTTCCCGCTTGCAACATGCCAACGGCACGTTCACGTTGCACATTTAACAATCGTGGCATTTCAAGTACCGTTAGAACTCTGGTTTAAAAGTGTTTTTTTCAATTCTTGAGGCCAATGCAAACACTAGCATATGAAGAAAACTTCGATGCGAAGATGACGTGATCGACTGCACGTGCAAAACCTGATTTGCCACTAACGTCATTTGCACGACGAATGGATGGGTTTGAGTGGGTTTTGATAACGTTTTTCTAGAGTCGAAAGATAGGGATCCCATTTCGGATACATAGATGTATCATCAGAGAAAAATTATTCATTATTTTTCAAATTACATTTTGTGAAGTTTCTTTTTTGACTCAGTATATTATTAAACATACCAAAGATTACTTTCAGAATCTATATACTAGTAAAAAAATAAAAGATGTAGAACTTGAAGAACTTTTTAAAAATTGCACTATACCTAAAATAACTGAAGCAGAATCTCAATGCCTGGAAGGCGCACTACAATATGATGAAGTACTTCAATCTCTTAAAAATATGAAAAAAAATAAAAGTCCTGGACCATCTGGATTTACTGCAGAATTTTACAAATTCTTTTGGCAAGATGTTAACAAATATTTGATTAACTCGTTGAATCACGCATTCAAAACAGGTGAACTTTCGGTAAGCCAAAAACAGGGCCTTATAACATGTATTCCCAAACAAGATAAACCTAAAGACCAAATTAAAAACTACAGACCTATATCACTCCTTAACATATCGTATAAACTAGCCTCGTCCGTAATTTCAGCGCGAATAAAACGTGTACTCCCGAAAATAATAAGCGACGATCAAAAAGGCTTCATGAAAGGTAGATACATTGGCGAATGCACGAGATTGGTCAGTGACATTGTGGAATATACAGACTACGAGTATATGAATATACCAGGATTACTGATAATGATAGACTTTGAAAAAGCTTTCGATTCCGTGGAATGGTCTTTTATTGAGAAATGTCTTAACTTCTTTAATTTTGGACCATCAATCAAACACTGGATTAAAACATTTTACAACAACATAAATTCTAGCGTTTCAATAAATGGTTTTGCATCAGACTTCTTCCACATTACTAGAGGCTGTAGACAAGGTGATCCTCTATCGCCCTATCTATTTTTCATAGTCGCAGAAATCCTTGCTCACATGTTACGTCAAAATGACAAAATAAAAGGGATAAAAATGTTTGACTTAGAATATTTGCTAACACAGTTCGCAGACGATACAACTATAATCTTAGACGGGTCTGAACGTTCTTTTCAAACAACATTAGAAGTTCTTAAACAATACGCATCCTTCTCTGGTCTTAAAATAAACATTGATAAAACTAAAGTAGTGTGGATAGGTTCTAAACAATTCTCAAGTACACAGTATTGCAGAGACTATAATCTGGACTGGACGCAAAGACCTTTCAAACTGCTAGGTATCATATTTCAACATAATAAGGCAGAAATGGTGGAAAGAAACTATAAAGATAAACTAAAGAAAATGGATAGATTAATGAAACTTTGGTCACTTAGAGATCTCACACCATTCGGCAGAATAACTATCCTGAAAAGCCTGATATTGCCCACACTCAATCATCTATTTTCCTCACTACCAAACCCCAAAATAAATACAATTCAAATGATCCAGAGAAAGATCTTCGCATTTATTTGGAGAGGCAAACCAGATAAAATAAAAAGGTCTCTGATAAACAGAAACTATAAAGAAGGCGGCTTGAAAGTTCCAGATATACTCGAAACTATAAAATCTAAAAAAATATCATGGATAAGAAGGCTGTTTACAACAAACTCTAAATTCAACAATATCTTAAATAACATGGTAAAAAATACAAACCCAATAGAAATGGGCTCAAATTACTTGAAAACACACATCATTCCAAAACTTTAAAACCTTTTCTGGAAAGATGTTCTGGATGCTTGGGCTGATTTACAAGAACGGTATCCTTACACGAAATCCGACTTTTGCAAACAGTATATTTGGGCAAATAACAATATAAAAATTGGAAACAAATCTATACTATATGAACACTACTTAAAAGCAAATGTAAAATTTATAAATGACGTACTAAAAGATGATGAATCCTTTCTGTCTTTCACTGAGTTTAAAGAGATGTATAGAGTAGAGACAAATTTCGTAGAATATGCGGGATTAGTATCTTCAATAAAACAATATTCAAAGCAAGAAGCTACGCTATTGACAAAGCAAAGACATTTACCCTTTATTCCCCCGAATGTAAAAATACTCTATAAAAATAAGAGAGGCTGCAATATTTTCTACACAACGCTACTAAACAAGGCTAAATCTATTCCAAGTTTAGGATATCAATGTAAATGGGAAAACGACCTTCATCACAATTTTCCACCTGACTTATGGAATACCTATCATTTTGTACCATTCAGAGCTGTTCATAACACTAATGAAAGATGGTTTCAACATCGTATTGTCCTCAGAATTCTCACAACCAATAAAGACCTATACAACTATAATATATTAGAATCACCACTATGTACATTTTGCAAGGCTGAAAAAGAAACCATTGTTCATTTGATGTTTGAATGCAGATACGTAAATAGGCTGTGGCAAGACCTTTTTAAATTGGATTGAAGATAAAACAGACATTACTATAAACCTGGATCCGAAAACAATCCTTTTGGGCTTTCATGAAAAACGTAACGATGTTCTGAACTTGATATTTATCATAACAAAGGAATATATATATTCCAGAAAACTAGCAAATATCCGTCCAACCCTTGAAAGTCTCAAAGCCAAATTAAACCACAGTTACAATCTCCATAAATATAATGCACGCTCTGTATGCAAATATAGCAAGTTCACGACTTTCTGGTCATCATGCCACAACTTATTTACATAACCTACTCGATCTCACTGATGCTTGTTACTTAATTGTGCTGTGTATTTGAAATAATGTTGTGTATGAATGATAAAACTGTACCAATGCGAAAAAAAGAAATAAAGTGAAAAAAAATAAAAAAATATTTTAAACGTGTGAAAATGTAATTATATGTGACGTAAAGAGGGGCAGGGGCTGTGACAAATAAATCGTTGCGATTTTCATGGTGATTTCCATCATGAGTGGCTGGCACTAAAACAATCTAACACCGTACAATCAACCACCCCATACCATCATCTTGTTATACAGTCACTGCGACACCGTACAATCAACCACCCCCATACCACCATCTTGTTACACAGTCACTGCGACGCCGTACAATCAACCGCCCCCATACCATCATCTTGTTATACAGTCACTGCGACGCCGTACAATCAACCGCCCCC